AAAGAGGCTCATTGATGGATTAGATGGTAGCTCAGGTTATTATGTCCATCTGATCCAGAAATGTTGCAGAGGTTGCTTGAAGATAAAAAAATGGAAATGTATGCTGAAGAGAGTGTTTCGTTATAAGATTTAGACAAGACGTACTAGAAGAAAACTAGAAACATGTTTATTCTCATTAATTATCCATTAAAATTGATTAATATCATCATTGTAACTATAATAACTCGAATAATTGCTAAAATCAAAGCATTCTGCATCATTCCTTTGGTTTTCCGGGAATTCGGGAGGTAGCCGATCGTTTTTGTTTATTTATCCGCGACCAGAGAGATTTTTAAATTGTGAAAGTTGCTCTCGCCTTTTTAGATCATTCCGCATATATTGCGCACTTTCCCCGTTTATTTTTATACTTTTTAAAAAAGTGCGCACGTGAGCCCCAAGGGTGCGTTTTTCACTGATCTTAATACAACAGACTATATATTATAGATATATAACTTACTACTACTCCCTCTTATGTACATAATTTATTATTATTATGCTTTACTAGTCAATTACCAGAAACGTGTGTTTTTGTTTATAGGTTGTAGCTTATCGGGTCTTCACATTTCTGGAACTCGTGTGTTTCAGTTTGTTTATCTAACTGTTTTAATAACACTTTACTACAATATATAGTTTATTATAATATTTCTATAGTTATATTATATTGTTGCAATATTTATATTCTACCCATCTATCTAATTGTTTCTTGACCCTGTACAGCGTAGACAAAGAATTACATTTCACTTGCAAGTTTTGTTTTCAAAATGTTTTCGAAAGTATCGTCTGAACCATATGATATAAATTTGGATACCTATATGGTCACGTGTGTGATTCGAGACGCTTTAAAGTCAGAGCTAACATCACTTCCACCGCGAGTAAGGTCTTACATCCTGGATATTTGTTTACCCTTGAAATAGGCAAAGTGTTTCATATCTTTGATGATACGAGTTTCGTTTTAAAGAAATATTTTACATGTTACAATTAAATGTTCTAGCACCTAAGATTAGCATTCAGTGACTGAAAGTGTACTCTAACACGTATGATTGTTATTAAGTGACTAGAACTATACAGATGTTCTAACACGTATGATTGTTATTAAGTGACTACAACTATTCAGATGTTCGAACAC